TTTTTTTTTTTTTTTTTTCCTGCTTCTTTTCTCTCAAACTCCCTCTCTCTCCCCTTTCAAGCTCAATCCCCATCCATTTGCGTGTGCCAAAGCCAGTAAAAAGGAGGGGGAGAGACCCGGAGAAGGATCCACCTATTTGGCAAAGAGACACCCGCGAGCAGCCAATGGCTGCATCCGAGGGGAGGAGGGACCCGGGCGAGCCGGGGAGGGTGGGGAGAGCCCCCGGCGGTTGGAGACCAAAAACAATTTGCCCAATCGACAAGTTCACGTCTAATGAACAAGCAAAGTCCAGCAGTTATGAATTTTCCATTCCAGGCTCCCTCTCCGGCCCATTTGGCAGCGGTCACCCAGCAAATTTGGGGGGTGGGGGTGGGATTAAGGAAGATGCGGATTTTTTTTTTTTTTTCTAAGCCAGAAAAATAAATAAATAAATAGAGGACTGAGTCCCGGCGGGCGGCGGGAGGGAGCCCCAGAAGGCCCCGGAGAGCAGCTGCTCCTGCTTTCTGTGTTTGGGTTTCAGTGCCTTTCTCTCCGGCCTGCACGCTCTCTTTTTCTGGTTCTGTTTCTTTTTTATTTATGGAGCAAACAGGGGCGAGTGGAAGTTTTCCTCCCCGGCCGTACACACAAGCCTGCGGTGCTATGAATAGAAAGAGAGGAAGAAAGAGCGACTGGAAAGCTTAAATGCCAGCCGCGCTTCCAGGGCAGGGGCCCGCCGCCCAGGGTGCAGGCAGCCCTTGGGCCCAGCCTGGCTGCGAGCCCCCAGCACCTCCGGGCCCCCCACAGCCCCCGTGCTCGGCTGCCTCCCTCAGCCCACACCCAGCCACGCATACCCCATTAGCAGTGACGAGGGTGCCAACACGATGCGGCTCGGCTCACGAAACTGCAACAGTTTATTAAAATAGCCTCCCGTCCCGGCGCTGGGCTGGCAAACACCAGAAGCAGCCGAGAGAAGGGACAAAGGCGGAAGGATGCATATGACCTGACCTCAGAATGGAGTCCCTGAGTCGGACCTACCTCCTCTCCCCACACCCTGGTCCTGTAATGCTTTGCTCTCTCCAGCGTTGCCCCCTCCACTTGATCCATTTAGTTGTCTTGTTTAAAGGAGGCTGGCCATTCAATTCAGACTAAGGGGCCCACACTGTGTCATGCAAGGTGGCAGAAAACATGAAATAGAGACCTAACTGACAAGAAGGGGTCAAAGCAGAAAGGAAAGGGTTATAACTCCCCTCCCAAAAAAAGGGATGGGGGGACAATGGGGAAGTGGAATCACAGAGAAGGGTCCCACTGGGGAGGGAGCAGGGCACCCAGTTGGGCAGGATGGTCTCCAGGACAGGCCATCTGAGCAGTCATACAGCAGGCCTTTAAAATGCAGGTATAAGGAGTGTTATTAAAGAAAAGAGAGAACAGAGAAGGTCAGGAACCCAGACAGGGAGAGAGTGTTGGATTCGGAACTGGCCCGCACAGCCGCCCTCTCCCCAGCGAGCCAGCGAGACATGGCCCCCTCCACACTGGCAATGGAAAAAGGTCACTGCTCTCCCCTTTTCTTCCTCATCTAAAATCCTGTGTTCTGTGGCCTTTATGCTCTCGGCAGAGAGGAGCCTGGAAGGGACCTGGGGTGTGCCAAAACAAAGCATCCAGCCATGGGCTGGCACTGAACCCCAACAATGGGAAAGGTGCCGCCAGCACCTGGGATCCTGTCTGAAGTTAGCGCACAGCTGACCAAGAGAGAAACAGAGGTGAAAGTGCAGGAGGCAGGTGTCACCACAGACAGGGCTCTTAGGGTGGCATTCAATAATTAATGTCAGGTTAATGACCAGCTTCTGTCCAATTAGCCAAAGATGTTAGCTTAGTGACATAAAATAGCAAACCCTGCCCTGCCTCCTTGAGGAAGCAACCTTACTTTCTAAAGTCACTGTTAAAAAGTACAAATGAGTGTATATTTGGCATGTGGTTGTTTTTTCTAGTATTTTGATTTATGCTAAATATTAGCCAGGGAGCAGAATATGGCCAACGTGAGCCCCCAGGAGAATCCAGGCACATCCCTTCCCCCTTCCTCATGTCTCATACACGGTTCACAAACCATAGGGGGAACAGAAGAGTACTGATGATCAAGGGTGGTTCTTAATGGCAGGTAGACCGCTGCCCCCACACACACACGTACTTCAGGAGCCACAGGGTCCCACGGCCAGGAGATAGCCATGGGAGGAGCCAAACAGAAGTCAAGGAGACAAGACAAGATCCTTCCTGGAAGGAGGAAGGGGTCAAAAGGTCAAGCCAAGTGGCAGAGGACCCACACAGAGCCCCACGTACTCCATGAACGCTCTCTGAAGGATGGGAGCAACAGGCCCTTCCCACTGAAGAAAGGGTAAGGGAGAACAATGGTCAATTCTCCTTCTCCCCCTGCCAATGGCCTTAACCTTGAAGGTGGGCAGGGAGGATTCCCAGGCAGCCCCCTCCCTCACCCCTCACCCGGCTGTGAAGGGGCCTGGAAGCAGCAGGGATGTCCCAGGGCCTGGGGAAGGAGGGGAGGCGGAGGTCTCAGGCTATCTTTCCCTTTCTGTCTCTCTCCAGTCTTCTGAGGGGCAGCAGGCACACTGGTTCCATCAGAAACCCTTCCAGAATCCCAGCGCCAGTGGCCCCCTCCACCTGCATTCCACTGGTGGCAGCCTGTCTGCCCAGACACGCCCCTCAGAAGCCCCAAACAAAAGGGGACTGTCCCCCTTTTGTTTAGAAAGTAGAGGCTCCTGTTGGAAGACTACCTGTCCCATCCAGGTCCCAGCCTCCTTCCCTTCTTCTCTCCCGCCCCAGCAGGGAGACTGGACCCAACCGCTGGCCACTGGCAACTAGAACCAAGACCAAAAAAATAAAAAATAATAAAAAAAAAAGACTCTCAGACAGCACAAGGCTTCTCCAGGTCTGAGTCACCAACAAGTGCAAGGGTTCAGGGGAGGGAGGGAACGAAGAGATGGGCAGGCCACGGAAGAAAGGGAGGGAAAAGGAGGTGAAGAGAAAAGCCGAGGGGCAAAAACGCTGTTGAGAGTGTGCAAAAAAGAAAAAAGAGAGAGAAAATGAGAAAAGACAAGGAGAGTAAACAAATAAACAAAAGTGGAAAAGGATTTGGGAAAAGGATCTTTTCCTCATTTAAAAGAAAAACATAAAGAGTGCAGAAATGAGAAATAAGACTTTGAAAGTTCACATGGGTTTTTGGTTTGTGGAAAGGCATATATCCTCCGCCATTGTGAGAGAAAGGCTTTTTCTTTCCTCTTTAACTGTTGAGTGCGTAGAACTGGATAAAAACAGCAACAGTTGCACTGAAATATTTTTAAAGTACCCTTGCCAGATACAGCCATTAGTAAGAGAAATGTGTCCCTAAAAGAAAAAGACTGAGCCGGACACAAAGAGGGGGAGAGAGGGAGAAAAGGAGAGGGAGAGAGAAAGAGACAGGAGAATTCAAAGAGAGAGAGGGAAAAAAAGAAGGAGAAGGATAAAGATGGGGGGCAGAAGGACAGGGCCGACAAGGGGAAAAAGCAAGGAAGGGGCTCTGGGGACAGGGGCAAAAAAAAAAAAACCT